TGATAAAAAAACCATAAGGGGCAGATGACCAATGTCCATAAATGTTATAGATGTTGTTGAATGTTTAATTTCCTGTCATTAGACCGTCCTGCATTAGCAAGTTACAACTGTTGTGGTTATCCGAAGGTCAAAACAAACATATCTTTTGGTAAATGGCAGAAGCAGAGGCAAAACCTGCTGTATTTTTGGCCAATAGACATATGAATGCTGAAAAATCTTTGGTCGTGCCTCTTCTGCTGTGTAAATAAAACACAATAAACCATGGCTTCTGCTGAGCCACAATCCCAAACCTCCACATCATTTTGTCCTTTTCTTCAGTATCATTAGCTGCTATATACCTTTAACTTGCCTCCCCTCCCATTTAGAAAAAAAGCTTTGTTTTTTTAGTTTTACGGCGCAACAGCTAACAGTCTATTAGCATCCAATGTCATCGGAAACACGTGCAAGGCCCCTCACAGGCCTCGGTGTCAGCAGTAACAAGACTTCGGAGAACTATTAGCATGTTTTTAAAAGTGCTCGCTGGAAAAGCCACTGATGCTATAATCAGAAGGCAAACGTTATCTGGCAGCGGCGGCAGTAAAGGGTGTTGGCCGAGTCCTTCCTCACACAGTTAAGGAGACAAAGAGCCTCCTACCTCCTAATCATCCTGATAAACCATGAAAGACTTTGCTTCTACGAGTGTCATTCTCTCACCAAGAAAATCCTCTCCACTTATGATTGGGCCGTTTGAAGTCCCCCCCTCTGTCTTCTTGTCTCATTAAAACATAAAAAGAATGAAATAAAATTCAAATCAACTGTTTACGCTGTTACTTTAAAATGTGTAATTTAGCCTCACTCTACGCAGACAACTCACAATTACGGTGGGTTGGCACTGGCAGACGTGTTTAGTGCATTTTCTATAACAAACCCCTATTAATCATCTCCCAGATCAAAGCAACACAGCAGAGGAATTTTAAATATTTAAATCTGTGCTCCTCAAATCTTAAATCAGATCAAAAAGAATCAGGCTTTAATTTCGCCCGGCACATTGCCAGTCGGGGCGCAGGAGACGTACACAGGGATGCACACAAACTCCAATTAAATATTGCAGATTTGACTACATCTCCATAGAATTTTCATATCTGAGCAGGCTTCACACTGGGTGCAGCTGAGGAGCGCACATAATTGATTATTATGGTGGGGCTTCATGAGGATGACAAGGAACTTAAAAGTACATGCCTCTTTGTGATGGGTGCGGCGTGCGGGGCTCTACACAAATGCATAATAAGCGGTAATATGGAGGCATTTCAGAGTAAATTGTGTAAATTGACAGGCCACTCTTTCAATGAGTCCTTCGTATAGTTATTTCCCTGCGCAAGAAGACCTTAACTGCTTGTGTTAACCCCATACTGCTCCTATATATTATTCTACATATTGGCTTGGATTATTTACTTTTGCCTGACAGTTGATGCCCATTGAAATGACTACAGCTGTCATCTCTAGACAGTTTGTCAATCCCAGTCCATTATAGACTGACGCCATATTTACAATGCATTTCACTGCACCCCATTTCATAATAATGATATGTTTGATGGTTGGTTTGCAGTAGTCGGCGGTTCAATCTTACTCACAATACACCATTTGCAATTATCGCATGTGTCCAACTAAAAATGGAGTGCCTATCTTTGAAATCACAAAACGTTATCTATGTATTAAAACCCATCTTAACTAGTTCCTCGATGTCAAAACAGTTTGGTTATATCATTTGTTTTCACACGTATGTAGCCCCTGTCACATATTTGTGTCAGCTTTGAAAGAGAGAGTAGCAGCATTCATTCAGCCAATCAGTCCTCAGTATGTAAAAGAAATATCCCCACAGTGAGACAAGACATAAAGGATCTCTCATTGTCACAATGTTTTCTAATAAGATAAGCCAGGGTGTTAACAACAACTTATAAACAAGGCTAAAAATCTTCATTTGATAAGACAAAAATATTAGTACTGCTTAAACTTTTACCTTGATCAACTTTTTACATTTAATTTGTATTTATATCTAAACCTATCAACCTAAGCATGGAAGGGCCTGGTTAGTACTGTGATGGGAGACCTCTGGGAACACCAGGTGCCACAGTGGGGCGGCAAAAGTCCTCGACGGCAAAAGCAAGCTGGTTAAAAAAAAAAAAACAACTCCCCTCAGCATTGACAGCATCTGGAACGAATTTTGGGCCAGGCTATGAAGACGCCTTTGAGAGGAAAGAAAGAGTCTCAAAAAAGAATTGGATAATTCTTTTTCCGGGTACGCCACCACTGGCAAGGAGCCAGATTACAAGCATGTCAGCGCACTATTGTCAGCACACGTTCTCATGGACCCTTTTGAACCGGGACCCATCTACACTGAAAAAAAAAACAAAAAAGCTTAGGTTCTCCAGCATTAAATGTAACAGTTCAAAGAAACAGTCCACAACTCTAACATTCAATGATGATGATTGATTTGCTTAGACAGTTCAGCGCCCCACAAGCCAAAAAAAAACTGATTTATGGTACAAAGTTGATTTGAACTTTGACTGCATCCACTTCCCTCCGCTCCAAATGGACTGCGGTGAGGAGAAGTGGCGAACAAGGCCGTGGTTAGACATTACCCTTTACAAGCTGAAAAACAACATGTCTTCTCCCTGCGTGCTTGCACTGCTACATTGTCCTTGGCTTTCTCGCTGTTGTCACCTAAAATCAATAGGCTTCTGCAGTTATTACAGATGTTGAAGTGTGTCCCAGGAGAGCAGAGAGCAAAGAGCAAGTGCATCGGAGCATGTTTGCTATTCCACACTGCATACCAAACTGCAAAAAGCCTACAATTTTAATTCATATGTGCTTTTGTAAATAATGAAGCCGTTTTTTAAGCCTTTGTGCATGTCATTATTATATGTATTCATTCAACACCCTCAGTGTTAGTGGATCTACTCCGTGTCCAAGGCAGCCAAGACGTATCCTGGTATTTTCAACTTTGATTTACACAATTATATTGTTTATCACTGGACATAGAGCATTAAACAAACTGCTGACGCTAATAGTGGGAAAAAATTACCATTTTTGTTTCATGAATGTCACATATTGTTTGTCCCAACAGAAAAAAAACTTTTTTTTGTTTGAAGAAACTAAAGTGCTTAACATAGCTGCTGCCTCCCCATGTTTAGTCCTGACTCTTGGCACCAGCAGGAGGCCAGGCCCTCAGAGTCCCAGCAGGAGGCCAGGCCCTGTGCTCCTCAGAGTCAGAGATGGTTCATATGACACTAACATGTCACAGATGTACTTTGGTGCATCTTGTATGGTCTTGTATACAAGCAGCGCTTCTTTAGGGTGTATTCAGACCTGAAAAGTCCTTTGCTCCGCTTGCTTGATCCGAATCAAAAGCGGACCAAACTTTTTTTCCTTTGCTCCGGTTCATATTCAGACTGTCCTTTTTGCAAGTGAACTTTTTTATATAAACATATCGACACGTGTGACGATCGGCGCTCCTATTGGACAGCAAGAGCTCACGGAGGATAGACGCGGAACCGGAGGAAAACAGAGGGCTCGTATGTGCAGCATGTCTGCTCTGCCCATGTTTGCTCTTTTTAGAGCAAAACCACCTTCAGCATCAACAGCAGCTCATATGACACAGGCCAAACACGTTGTTTTAAATATTGGAACAGCGTCGGAGAATGCGTGAGGAGAAAGCCGAAGGAGACTGTCTGTGCGCTCCGTGTCCTGTCCCACACATGGATCTATGATAATAACCCTGTTCCACAACTTACTGCCAGCAGCATGTGGATAAACCATGGATCTATAATAACCACGGGACAAACAGACGCTGAGGATCAGGTAGGAACCAAAGAACACAATTCACTACATGATGCGGAATATTGCTCTTTGAGACGTGAGTCAAACAGTGTCAGGCTTTTAATAATGTGTAACCGTACCTAGTTACTTTAGGTTCAGGATTGCAAATGGCAATGAAAATGAGGCAGAGGCAAGGATAAAAGTGTAGTATTTATTAAGCACAAAAAGCTAGTTAAAAAGGGTATTTAAAAGCCAATTAGTTAGAGACAAAACTGCATTAATTAGGTAGGTCGGTCGCAGCCGCACACGGCAGAAGCACATGGGCCGGAGCACCCACTGCAGCTCCGTGAACACTCACACACACACACACACACACGGGGAAACTAAGGAAACGTGAAAGTGAGGGCGTGCAACAATACCAAAACATACGAGGAGTGAGGGGGACTGACGTGAGACTCCGCCACCAAACCTCCACCAGGGACGACCACGCCCAGACCAGACCTTAGGGGAAGAAATGCAGATCTTAGGGGCAAATTGGTAACGGAGGACAAAACAAAAGTAAATAGCTATGCCTTAAACAAAATTATTCTAAGTAAATGATAAGACTAAATAAAAAGACAAAAACCAAAACAAGAAATACTTAAATGAAAACCCAAACAAAACAGCAGTGGCCAACAGCATCTATGAAACAAATGGCTATTAGTTTCATGCCACATAACTACACAAACAAAAAGAGCACAACAGTGTATAATACCATGAGCACTATGTACAAAGTTAGTGAGGGAGACATGGCCACGCACGACTTTTAACCAGTGGCCGTGGTAGCAGGCTGCTAAACAGCGTCTGCAACAAAGGAAGAAGAAAACACTCACATTAACCCACGGCTGACATTGTACAACAACAACAGCGAACACCTACCCGGCAGCTACTCGAGATCTGGCAGAACGAGTGAAGCCTGACAGCAGCTTACCTTACTGTGCACTGGGGTGTCTATAAGTACTGTTGCTGATCGCTACTGAGCCAATACGGAAATGTGAGAGGAGGGGCATGTGTGCCGTAGTGTATGGTAGCCAGGAAGGGACAAACTACCTGCCGTTACATCTACCCCCGGGTTCTTTAAATTGGTGTCCCAACAATTTCAAACCTAATGGAAAGTTGCAGCCCTACTAGCCCTACTTTGCACGCTTGTTGGCAGGTTATTAGGGTTAGGATGCTGGCCGGCTGTCTGACGGGTAGAGCGTCTTGGTGGTGGTCCAAACCGTGAGCTGGGGGCAGGGCTGACCGTACGTGGGGCTGGTAGGAGTCCAACCCGTGACCCGGGGGCGGAGCTGACCGCTAGTGGGGCTGGTGGCCGAACAGCAGGGTCGTCAGCCTGGACTGGATGCGCAAGTACATCTGGCTCTCGACTCACCACCCAGAGGCCATCTGCGGCCCACTCCCCGGTTTCGGACAGCTCGGGGCTCCGGTTACTTGGATCAGGCCTGTCAGCGAGAGGGGGGGAAAGACTGCAGGGTATCGGTTTAAACATATTCCTGTGTACATAGTGTACCTGTGCAGGCTGGTCTTCACGGGCAACTGCATACACAGATTGGCCAGGGCTTGGGGACCCTACCACAATGAATACATCAGGGGCCCAGGCATCCTGAATTTTACTCCGCCCTCGGTGAGAGTGGTCACGTAGGTACACCTTCTGTCCTGCGGGCACCACATCCTCCGTCGCCCGCTTGTCCGCCCTCTCTTTCCTCTGTGCTGCAGCTGCCCACATCCGCTCACGGGCATTATCAGCTGCTACTTGCAATCTATGCCGATGCTCCTCTATCCAACGGCAGACTTCCCCTGCAACAGGCTCGTTGACCCTTCCCAGGAGAAAATCCACTGGAAGCTGAGGTTCCCGGCCAAACATGAGGAGGAAAGGTGAATGTCCCGTAGTTTGATGTGGGGTAGTGTTGTAGCTGAAAAGTACTTGTGGCAAGTACTCAGGCCAACGCAGCTTCTGTTCTGCAGACAAAATACGGAGGAGATTGTGCAGAGTGCGATTAACACTAGGACCGCCGCGCTCTAAACATACCTTGCACCGCCCCCTGCGGTCAGTTGACCACTATGTATTTTGCGCTGATACAGCCTTTTGCCAAATTGATTGTTCACTAAACCAGAACTTGATGTTGCAAAGGAATCGTGATCATAATGAAACTGTGTAAATTATTTGTCTAAATATGCTAAGTAATTGTAATTCTAGCCGAAATAAAAGACTAAGACGACACATTGTGCGTGTACTGATCCATCAAAATTACGATGACTTTTCAGGCTAGATTTATTTTGTAACTTTGCAAACACCTAAAAGGTCGGTCACTATATGTTATATTTGACTCAGTAACAATATGTAAATTCAAACAATATAAATTATAGTTTAGAAAAGCACGGGACCATAACGTCTTCGCGCTGCTATATGCGTCTACTTCTTACGTCATCTCCAGACTGTTTGCTCTTTCCAGTCGAAATCACCGTGGGAAATATTATCTAGATAATAATAATAGTATTCGTATTGACACAAGATCATCAGCTAGGCTACCATCGTCAATGTAAAATCTTCAATTTTACACGGGACACGTTAGAAAGACAAATATATGTATATGTATATTTGTATTTATTTGAGACAAGCAGTGCTCTTTATGCTCAGAACAAAATTATAATCATTGCCTTGCAGTGCGCGCTGTGCAGAATAACACACAGTGTTATCTGGATGAAATAAGAATTATATCCTTATTGATATATGAGGGCCGCCTCTGCCCCACAGTCCCTCTCCTCCTGCAGTGTCCGCGGGTGACGAGCACTCTGATCTGCACTCTGCCTTGATAGTTCATCTAATTGTTCTATTTTATTGCGATATTGTATTCTGCTTTATTGCCTTCTTGTATGTATAAATATAATAATGTAATTGATGATGAATGAAAAGGCAGAATGGAGCGACAGCGCGTACACAGACACTTGCGTATGGCTGGCATTACGCGGGTCATGTGCGTTATTGCTTCTGGACTTGTTACAACACTGCTGTCCGTGCCGTGAATGCACTATGGGTTTACGTTCAGATTTAGAATATTATAGGTGTTCTCCCCGCTGTCACTTTCTACCTCAAAATGTGACATCTCTCACCTCCGTCAGACTGTTCTCATTCAATGTCTTGAAGCACTGTCAGGGCTTCATACCGTGTACTTGCAGCTCTATTCATTTTGTACTCCTCTCTCTCTCCCAAATAATAATAAAAAAGTCCCTTTAGAGTCTAATGACAACATATTGATACATTTTTATAAGGCGCGAAAAACCCCCGGGAAAGGTTACTATGACAACAGTCGCCCCTGCGCCATGTATCTCCATGGGGCAGCAGAAAGGGCTGTGGTTTAGAAAAGTTAAAATACGTGTAAATCTTGTTTTCTTTACTTTTTCCAAAACCAAAACACACCAAAATATAAACAACAAGTACCTAGTAAAAGTCATAAAATTTCAACTTCTGGCGTTTTGTTTTGAATACACTAATTAGCATATTAAAGTGAGTGACGGTCAGTTGACCGCTAGGGGCGCTCCTAGTGTTAAAACGTTCGCATTGGCCATTCCCCTGCGGGTGATAAGGGGTGGTCCTAGATTTTTTTATTCCGTACATCTCACACAATTGGTGTATCAATGCATTTTCAAAGCTACGACCCTGGTCGGAGTGTAGTCTGGCAGGAACTCCATACTTATAAAACCACTCTTTGACCAATGTTTGTGCTACTGTAGTAGCCCTCTGGTCGCGGGTAGGGAAAACCTGGGTAAACTTAGAGAACACATCAGTCATTACCAACACAAGTTCTCGTCCATCCCGAGAGGGTTCTAATAATGAGAAGTCAATCGCCAAGATCTCGTTTGGTTTTGATGCCAATAAATGTCTCGTAGGCGCTCGTACCTGGGGCTGAGTGTCCCTTGCAAGAGAGCAGCGCTCGCACCTCTGACACCACTCCCTGATAGTCTCGCCCATGCCTGGCCAATAGCACCTTTGCCGAATGAGTTCTGTAGTTCGCTCTGCTCCTTGGTGGCCATGGAATGTATGGAGCTGTGTAAAAACCTCTGATCTGAGGGTTTCGGGTAGCACTAGTTGGAAGAACACTTCGCCCCCATCAGGACGTTGACAGGCACGATGTAGTAGTTCATCCCGGAGCACTAGATTTTCCCAATCACGGAGTAACCTTCTGGCCGCAGGGTCAAGTGCCTCCCTCTCCATTCTTCCTGGGGCACACTGCCGCTGTATAAAGGCCAACACCGGGGCGATAGCTGGATCGGCCTGCTGCAACACCTTCACGTCATCTGTTGACCTCTTAGGGATGACTGACATGGCGCATTGAGTAGCCACACTGGTGCATTTTATGGCCAGTTGCACCTCGTTCGGAAGAGGAGTCCCTGGGCGTGCTGGAGTGGGCAGATCAGGAGGTTGGGACTGGCGAGATAGCGCATCCGCATTTTGATTTGTTCTGCCAGGCCGGTATTTTACAGTGTAGTCAAAAACTGACAGCTCAGCCACCCAGCGCTGTTCTGTGGCTCCTATTTTAGCTGTGTTCAGGTAGCTGAGCGGGTTGTTATCAGTCCAGACCACGCACCTATGTCCAAGTAAATATTCCCTGAACCGTTCCGCCATTGCCCATTTCATAGCCAAAAACTCCAGCTTCATGGAACTGTAGTTTCGTTCTGCTGGATTCAGGCTGCGACTGGCATAGGCTATAGGCCGGATCCTCCCCTCCTCCTCTTGGGACAGGACAGCACCCAGACCCTCGTGACTGGCATCCACTTCTAAAATGAAAGGAAGCTGAAAGTTAGCATAGGCCAGGACTGGTGCAGAGACTAACCTTCTTTTTAGTGCTTGGAAGCTCTCTTCGCACTGGGGAGTCCAGGCGTCAGCGAGGCGCTCTCTCCTGCCCCGGTAGTTTTTCTTCCCTGAGAGTTGTGCTACCAACTTGTGTAGGGGAGCAGCCAGTTTTGCGAAACCCTCCACAAATCGCCTGTAATAGCTGGCAAAACCAAGAAATGACCTTAATTCCGTTACAGTATCCGGCCTGACCCACTCTGCTACAGCTGCAGTCTTCTTTGGGTCAGTGGCAACCCCGGATGCCGACACAACATGTCCCAGATAGCTAACTTGCTGCTGTAGGAATTGACATTTACTCAGTTTTATTTTCAGAGACTCTCTGCTGAATCGCCGGAGAACCAGGTCCAATCTGTTCACGTGTTCCTCTACTGTGGGTGAGAAAACGATCACATCATCCAGGTACAGGAGCAATGAATAGCAATTTTGGTCCCTAAACATTCTCTCCATCAGCCTCTGAAATGTACTGGGGGCGTTACATAGCCCAAAAGGCATTCGCTGGAACTCAAAGAGGCCGAAGGGAGTGCAAAACGCTGTTTTCGGCTTGTCCTTTTCCGTGACTGCTACCTGGTGGTACCCGCTTGCCAAGTCAATTGTGGAAAACCACTTGGCCCCAGATAATGAATCTAAAGTCTCTTCGATTCGGGGCAAGGGAAAGGCATCTTTTCTGGTCTTGCCATTTAAGAGCCTGTAATCCACGCAGTCGCAAGCTTCCGTCCTTTTTCCTAACCAGAACGATAGGGGAGGCATATGGGCTGCAACTTTCCTGTATGACCTGACTGTCCAACAGCTTTCGTATGTGGGCACGGACCTCGTCATAGTCTGATGGGGGTATGCGTCTATATCGCTGCCTGATTGGGACATCGTCATTAAGCGGTATGTCATGAGTAATGAGACTAGTGCAGCCTAAATCTAGGTCTGATGTGGCAAATACACCTTTATGCTGCAACAGGAGTGACTTTACCCTCTGCTGCTCTGGTCCAGCCAAATGAGACAAATCAAGGGCATTTATCTGTTCTGTAATTGAACTAGTTGTTGCCGCCTGGGAGGAGACTGTGACCGAATCACCAGCTGGCTGTCTCTTAGTAAGCGACACGCTGTCGGGGAGACTAACAACTTCGGCTTTGCTTATAATACCAATAGGCTGCCGAGGGTGTAACACTAGGTTGTCTGTCCCTACATTCACCACTGGGACATAAACTGTACCTTGGTGGATGTTGACCATAGCTGGTGAGATTAGCAGACCCTGTTGCAGAGACTGGCAATCATCCAAGGGCTCAAGTAACGCTGTGCCTGAGGACCGAAAAAAATGAGACGAACAGGTAGCGGCAACCCACTTAATTTCCCCCCCTGGAACTATGACCGAGCGCCTACCTCTCACTTTAGCCACTCCCCTCTCTGGCTGGAGAGTCTGGGACTCCATTCGGTGACAGTGCTGTAACGCCCGCTGCCAGAGCGGGGGTGCAAGGCGTATCTCAGGGAGATCAAAAAGGTGTGACCCATGTTGGCTGAACAACTGGTAGTAACACTCCTTAATCACATTCATGCCTATCACACCCTTTACCCCATCTGAAGCTTGCTGTCTGAACGGCTCCTTGACCACCAAGATACCCCGCTGCGGAACTACCATACCAAATATAGTGACGTCTAACTCGACGTAACCAACATAGGGAATATCAATGCCATTGGCTGCAGTGAGCTCAAGCCAATTACAGGGCCTTGGGACAGTGTGGAAATGTTGATAAAAGAAGCCCTCATAAACAGTGGAGACCATAGACCCCGTATCCAACAAAAAGTTTGCTGTAACAGCACCAAGCTTGGCAGTTACCTTAGGACATGGGGCAATGAGATTTGGGGCCGCTTGCTCTTGTGCTGCCCTGTGGGTTGATGAGCCGGTGCCCTCCCCTCCTGACGTTTGGCTCCTCACATCAGGGGGTTGCAGTTTCCCACCTCCTGGGCTGCTGTCACTGCCCCCATATGTGGGGCTCTAGGCTGGGAGGGCACACGTTCATTATCACAATCTCTAGCAAAATGGCCAGGTTTTTGACAACGCAGGCAGATTAGAGTCTTTGGCCGAGCTGTTCTACCTGGGGGACGTGCAGAAGTCTGTAATGCTTGGAGGCCTAGAGCCAACTGGTTAAGCTGCTCTTGCTGTTTCTCAAACAGTTGCCGCAATTCCCTAAACTCCGAGCTGGCACTGGTAGAAGGTGCACGTGTGTTAGGGTAGTGCATTGAACTAATTGATGGTACTGAGTAGCTTCGGGGCCGGGGTTCCTCAGACCTTCCTTCCCGTTCCCACCTAATAGCATCTGCTCTCACCTCAATCAAGGTATGCGTGGGGCACTGCCTCACTAATCTCTTTAACTCCCTGCGAAGATGTGGATCCAACACATGCTCCACAAACTGATCGCGGAGGAGATTGGGGGCATCAGGCATAGACTGTGGGGCACTTCGCTCGACCTTCTCCATAAGGCAACACAATGCGTGTGAAAATGCCTGTAGCGATTCCCCTTCCTGCTGCCTCCTTGAGAAAAATGCTTGCTGTAATGAGACATACGATCTGCTACACCCATACAACTCTTGCAAAATCTTAAACATTTTCTCTGGGTCCTCTCTGTCTGCTCTAGGCCGGTACCTTATCTCATCCTTAGCCTCCCCCTCAAGATGGTCATACATAAAGTAAGCTTGGTCCACAGGCTGCAGGCATCTGGTTCTCAGAGTAGCCCTCATCTCTTCAACCCAGTCCTCCACAGGAATTCCAGTAATGCCCCTAAATGATCGACACTTTCTTTCTCTGGGAATGTATAACACACGTTCAGCTGGTGAGCCATTAGTGCGGTGTCGAGAGCTAGTAGTCCCAGAGTCTGTGGAAGTGGAGGCACCAGAGTCTGCGGGAGTTTCACGAAGAGCAAGCCTCTCCTGGAGCCGCACATTTTCCGATTGGAGCTGTGCCAGCTGGTCCCTCAGCTCTTGCAGTTCCATAGTCATGGTTGAAGGGAGAGGTGGGCAGGTAGAGCACGTAGACACGTCTGAGAAGGGAGGATGATTGTTCTGGGGCAGCAGATCCCTCGAAGCGCCCACTGCTGTTTGCTTGGGTCTTTAAACAGTAATAAAACAAATATCTTTTTTTTTTTGTTTTTTTTTAAACCTAGAGTCACTCACTCATCACCACAGCAATCCTTAGCCAGCAACGCCAGAATGTAACCGTACCTAGTTACTTTAGGTTCAGGATTGCAAATGGCAATGAAAATGAGGCAGAGGCAAGGATAAAAGTGTAGTATTTATTAAGCACAAAAAGCTAGTTAAAAAGGGTATTTAAAAGCCAATTAGTTAGAGACAAAACTGCATTAATTAGGTAGGTCGGTCGCAGCCGCACACGGCAGAAGCACATGGGCCGGAGCACCCACTGCAGCTCCGTGAACACTCACACACACACACACACACACGGGGAAACTAAGGAAACGTGAAAGTGAGGGCGTGCAACAATACCAAAACATACGAGGAGTGAGGGGGACTGACGTGAGACTCCGCCACCAAACCTCCACCAGGGACGACCACGCCCAGACCAGACCTTAGGGGAAGAAATGCAGATCTTAGGGGCAAATTGGTAACGGAGGACAAAACAAAAGTAAATAGCTATGCCTTAAACAAAATTATTCTAAGTAAATGATAAGACTAAATAAAAAGACAAAAACCAAAACAAGAAATACTTAAATGAAAACCCAAACAAAACAGCAGTGGCCAACAGCATCTATGAAACAAATGGCTATTAGTTTCATGCCACATAACTACACAAACAAAAAGAGCACAACAGTGTATAATACCATGAGCACTATGTACAAAGTTAGTGAGGAGACATGGCCACGCACGACTTTTAACCAGTGGCCGTGGTAGCAGGCTGCTAAACAGCGTCTGCAACAAAGGAAGAAGAAACACTCCCATTAACCCACGGCTGACATTGTACAACAACAACAGCGAACACCTACCCGGCAGCTACTCGAGATCTGGCAGAACGAGTGAAGCCTGACAGCAGCTTACCTTACTGTGCACTGGGGTGTCTATAAGTACTGTTGCTGATCGCTACTGAGCCAATACGGAAATGTGAGGGGAGGGGCATGTGTGCAGTAGTGTATGGTAGCCAGGAAGGGACAAACTACCTGCCGTTACAAATGCAAATGGTTTGAAGATGCTGCCATTAACATCACTGTATACTGTGAACAGTTCTAACTCCATAAGCCTGTTGCACAGCGTCTCCTCACTGCTCCAGTCTGCACACGGCTCATTGTTGTTGTGTAGCGTTAGCAGCATAGTTAGCAGCATAGTTAGCAGCATAGTTAGCAGCATAGTTAGCAGCATAGTTAGCAGCATAGTTAGCAGCTGCGTGGCTAATTCCTCAGTTTCTGTCTGCGGCTTGTTAAGCCCAAAACATGCGCACGTATCTTGGAGTTGTGTCGGATCGACACCGGATGTATTCAGACCTGATTCGACTTGGACCAGAATTCGTTTGGAAGCGGACCGAGACCACCTCAAAAAGTGGGTCTCGGTTCGGTTCTTTGGTCCGGACCAGGATTCGTTTGTGTGTATTCAGACCTGCATAAAAGATTCGGATCAGAGTTCCTGGTTCGTTTAAAGTGGAGCAAATGTGCAGGTCTGAATACACCCTTAAAGTCCACTCTCTGAGCCACATGTTATCTTTTGCATAGTTGTAATGAAGAGCAATGTGAGTCACAATTTGACGCTTTTGGCTGAGAGCTGATTAGTTGAGTGAGGGTGGTCTCTCTTCTTCACTTTTCTGTCTGAAAAAGCTGATATAAAGATGTGACAGAAGCCAAAATAGAAGCATAGGAAAACTAGTGATCGAACCAAACTGACCACTTAGACTGAATTACATAGTTCCATTCTCTGTCGTTTGAAAGTTAGGTTCCCCAGTTTTAAACATATTTTTCCAGTTGGCCGCTGGAGTTTTATTTGGATCCTCTAGTCTACAGTCTCTCTTTCCATGTTCTCCGAAATCACCTGGAACAGTTACGTAACAGAACTTTAGCTATCCGGCTACAAAAACAGAAACACATCCTGACATCAGAATGTACACCAATAATTACCGTACTCATTACATTTTCTATTGGTACAAACTCTCCCTAAATACCTTTTAATGACATATTTTCTTCCAGAACTGCAGGTGGACGTAGGCGGGACAATTACGTAATAATTTCTTGTCTTTTGTTCAGACTTCTGTAACTCAACATTAGCAGCTCTTTGTCGGATGTAAATGATGCTTTTTGAGCCAATGAAATGCATAGGTTTGTCTAATTTGACAGTGAACGTCTACATTCCGCTGAGTAATTGCTTTTGGGTCGCTCTCAAGCTGTCTCATTATTGTTGCAAATTGGATAAATCTCCCCACTCAGATTTACAGACGAGCTCAGACAAAAGAAAGGATTGAAAAGAAAAAAAAAAACAAGATTGGTTTTGTACTTAGTGAAAATCATCTGCTCTGAGGACTTCCATGAGAAAATGGCATTGAAGCTATGACACATCCTTGAGCTAACAGATGGATGCTGCAGCTAATGCTAATTCTTTTGACTCTCCATTGTTTTCCTTCTGTTCCAGCCATCTCCCGGCGGATCACAAGGTTTTTCGAGAGCAAGGCAGATGGAGAAAATATTGTTGACATTAAACTGTTCCTCTTTAAGGGAATTGTTGTGACAAGGTGGAGCTCCTATCACTCGAAATAGCAGCTTGTGTACTGTTTACCACGAGGCCCAAAGCAATGTTTGTTTCCATTGAAACGGTGGCAACTTTTGGTGTGTTTGTGATGAAGCTGCTCCTGGCGTTGTGTCTGCGCTCACATCTACTGTCACTGGGTTTTGGAAACAGCACACTACAAAATATGTCCTCCATCGGCTGGGATTTGTGTGTTATGTAATTCGTACCGTGTTCTCGCACTCACTTTTGTTTAGTCACCGTGAATGGGATGCACAGCAGGGTTGCGTAAAACTTATAAAGCCTTATTTCAGACGTTCAGAGACATTTAGAGTTAATTAAAATCCAAAATGCTTGTATGGGATAAGAGAAGGTAAAATACTGCACATTTGTTGGAAGTAGATTAGACTATAGCAAAGTTCAAACACAAAGCAACTCAAAGGCTAAACAGAACTGTTTTTGACCTGACTTTGAACATAGCCAGAGTAGAGGAAGACAATTCCAGCTGAATGGATCAGCTAAAATCTGGAACTGTAAGTAATTACTGTATGTAGGCAAAGTGGGGTTAAGTGTCTTGCCCAAGGACACAACGATAGCAGACCTCAGTGGGAGTCGATGGAGAAGGTCTCGTGGTGGGCTCGAACCCACGACCTTCAGGCTCAAAGGCCAATTCTCTATCAACTGAGCCACTGTCGCCCCACAGTGAATTGGGTCGTATCTCTGACCCCCACCCCCCCGACCCAGAAATGGATCAAGGGGTAGAAAATGGATGGATAGATGGGGGAGTAACCTACTTACTTACCTACATACTTACTTTCTCAGTTACAACTTTACTAAAGCTGGGATTCCTAACTTCAAAACCACAAAATAAATACTACAATCTAACAACATCCATCCAACTTTTTTCTACAACTCTCAATCCCATAAACACTGATATCACATGCATGTATTTTGGCCTCTATCACACATTTAGATTAGACAGAAAAGTGAAAGAGAAAGGTCCACCCTCACTCGGCCTATCCGCTCTCAGCCCAAAGTCTCCACAGGGATTGTTCTTACAAGTACATGCAATAGATAACATGTGTTCTAGTAAAGTGAATACAGCGTGATGTTTTTCGAAAATGTTCACTTTCACTAGACTTCTGTTTGTGGGTTGGTCAAAATGACCAGATAAAATTGACCAGATTAGATTTCTCAAAGATTGCTAACTGAAATCTGAATATTTATGTAGACCATTTTACACCACTTCAAGTCTGTAGAAAGGGATCCATAGCTGTTGCCTCCCAGCTCTGCGCGGCGTCCTCTCAGGGTCTTTATTGTGCTTTTAACAATGCAATCGATGGGCTATGAGAGGAAGTGTGTTGAGTGGGGGGGCTTTTGTATTCGAATGTGACTGGGGGTCTATGAAGTGTGTCTGCGTTGTCCGCCATGCTTTGAATACTTGACATCATTGATTTCTCCATAGAGGGGCCAAAGCAGCAGTAATTAAGAGTCAGGACGCTCCATTGATCGGACGTCTCACCTGGGACCTCACACTAACAAATCATTACAGTGTCCCCGGGGTCCATCAAGGGCCCGAGGAAAGGCAGCAGACCAGAGAATTTACTGACTGGCTTTACCGGAATATCTGTTAAGATGATGGATCCAAAAACAGTGAACATGAACTATTTTTTATTTATTTTTTGCAATATCCTACACAAATAGCATGCCTTTTCTTGCAAGTATTTGTATTAGATATGCATTATTATTTTGTATATAGTGAAAGTCAAGGTCAAATGTAAATTTACAACATTAAAGCAATTAAGAATAAAAAAAAAAAAAAAAAAAAAAAATGTTGGACAAATATTTAAAACAACATTTTAAGTGAATTGATTGTTAAATCAAGTACACATTTGTTTATCTTGACATCCGGACCATTAAAAGCCCAGATCATTTAAAAAGGCGTCCAGAAAGATCAAATTTTCTACTAACTTTTAGTACATAATGAAACCAGCTAAGAAGGTATGGTATTAGATGTTGTTTTGTTCTGTTTTGTAAACAATAAAAAAATAGTCACATTTCAGAATTGCTTTTTTGGGGAATGGAACCTAATCCGTATCCAATTTTGTGTTGGACAGTATGTAACTTTTCTGGTTGTCCCCAAGGAAATATGAGTTGAAAAAGTATGCATACCCCATGTCTGGTCTGTTTTGGAGCCTATTCAAAGAGTGTCTATTGTTAAAAAGCATAATCAAAGAAAGCAGCTTCTCCAGTTTTCGACAGATTGTTGAGGGCTTCATTCAAAATAATTATATTAAAGTCAACCCGGGCCTGAATTGGAGGCCAATAAAGATGTGACGGATGTGTTGTATTTCACCTTAAAAGGTCTTGTATCTTTAAGGTATGGGGGTGTGGTCCGTCTGAGGGTTGCTCAGACGGACTACACCCCCATACCTTAAAGAAGGTCAATCACGCCTATTTAGGAAGTAACATCAACTGATAAATGACACTTCACCAAGGCGGGTGACAATTCTAAAGATAGCCAAAACATGTAAAAAAGGTAATACATTGCGAGCAGCACGTGGCGCAGTGCTTCACAGCAAGAAGGTCCTGGGTTTGATTCCACCTCCCGGCCTTTCTGTGTGGAGTTTGCATGTTCTCCCTGTGTGTCTGCATAGGTTTCCCCCAGATGCTCCGCTTTCCCCCTGTATACCACTACAAATATGTACAATACGTCTGGCATGTGCCTCCTGCATGCATCTTTGTGTGGTGTGAGAGACAAATGCCCTCAACAATTGTAAAGTGCTTTGTGACTGTGACTGTGAAAGGCGTTATATAAATAGATTTAAGTCAGTAAGTATTCTCTAACTAGTCTTTCAAAAGATCCACAAAAAGTGTATCACACGTCATTTTAAAGCCCGGAACAGCCCGAATCCAGACATAATCCATGTTGTAGTCTCCTGGACATGTCTGGTTAACTTAAGTGTCCTTCTTACTAAAACGCTGGGACACCCTTGCAGTTCATATTCAGTAGATTTGGCTCAAGAAACAAGCGGAAAGTTGAAGACAATGTTTGGTCCTGGATTTGTAATTGAACTCTGTGTGACAGTCTCCAGCAGCATTACCAGCAGCATCAGAATCTCTTTCATAAATCTCCACAGATAACGACCGTTTTCAAAGTTTTAGGCCAAAGGACTGGAGTCGATGGGCTGTGTTCTCCGGGCTTATTAAAGAAGTCTTTCTAATGGCTCCTTTTACCGCAATTTCTCTGGCAGATACTGCATGTTTAATGACCAGTGAACTCTTCTGCGTTCCCATTAGGAGCACACAAAGCACAGGCAGAGAGGGCCTGATGTGCAGATGATCGAGGCTCATTAATGTATGCATCGGCCCAGTCACAGGTCTGCTCCACCACATCACTTCACATTTAAAGTACGTGTTTTAATGGACAATAGTACACAGAGCCTGGATTCTATATCTTTGTCTCCCCAGAAGAAGAGCGTTACCCATGTACTATAATTAAAGCTGAAGTACCAAACTTTGAATCCACAACAAATAATAATATCGTAGTTGTAACTAGTTCCATGCTTTTGAAACTGTTTGGTTACATCACTATTTTTAACATGTATTCTGTTTTTCGATCAGCTTTTTCAGTGTAAAGGATAGTACCAACCAGTTCTCACTCAGCCAATCAGCTCACGGTATGTAAAAAGATATGCTTTCTACTAAGATGAAGACAGCATATTTGGGTTAGATTTGTTGACTAAATGTTATGGTATGGTTGAGTCAAACTTTTTTTTTCTAATGAAACCAAATAATTAAAAGTTAGGTACTCCTAAGTCTACACAATGAAAAAATACAGGTTCATGTATGTATTATCTCGAAACTCTTCTTACTGTTATCGTATCATAATTGCAATACATCACAATGAGAATTCTCATACTACTACTAATAATACTTTCCTAATAATGTAGTTGTTCTATCGGGGTTTTTGCTATCAATGTATGATGCAGTTTGCAGTATATCCACATTGGAATACATGTGCGAAGGTCCCCAGACAAGTACAAACATAAAATAAGTTGAAAAGTACATGAATGGAACAAGCTTAAAGCAACAAGCTAAAAAAACATCAGGAAACAGCTTAAATGTCTTTTATTGTGCCTACAAGTGTGCGATTGTCGTCGAAGGGGTATAGGATGCAGATGTACTTCTAACTGTTGGCACCACATAGTAGTTTAACCTTTATTTTTTTATTTATGTGTAGAGATGGACTGATGTCACATTGCTAAGCACACGTGTGGAGCCTAGCGTGGAGCAGACAGCACTTCATTTAACATATAACATGGCATTGATTGTCTCCTGAGCTGTGTATATACAGTATTAATGTATAAAGAGTGAAGGCGTAACACAAGCGCCTACATGTTCCTTTCTCCCACCAGACATGACTGGACCGTGTACTGTTCAACAGTACAGGCCCAGTGCTGCTGCTGAGTGAGTCATCAGTGCCATCAGTAATCAGACTTCTAATGAGGACGGCCCCACTCACTCCTAAAGGAATGCTTTATATGCACGACGTGAACAACTATCCTGAATTAACAATGTAAATGTATCATTTGCACATTAGAAACATGAGAGAGCAGGGAAATTCCAGGACTTGTTAGACTAATTGAATTAGCAGCTCTGTTAATCATGCATAAATAGTGAGCGCACTCTAAGGACAGCGCATGGAATCAAGGTACGTTCTCTTTGGTGTCATTTCCTCTTAGAGCTGACAGTATCTCACATGTTAGTGATGCACTCACACTGTAGACATATACATTCACATTCATATCACGGGGATAACATCTCCCCTATTATCACAATTATTGCACATTGTATTGCATTTAATTTACATCTTTTCCATCATAGAGTCTGTAAATGGCACAATGACGCAGTGTTTAGCATTTGTACTTCACAGCGAGAAGGTTCTGGGTTCTGGGTTTGATTCCACCTCCAGACAGATGTTCTCCCCGTGTCTAAGTAGATTTCCTCTGGTGAGTGAGTGTGTGTTTGTGAGACAATATCATTTAAATTAACCATGAGGCTATTTGCATCATCTGCTTTTCATTTGTGCTCTGTGTTGATGTTGGTAAGAACCAGTGAGGGCAGGTCCTGGCTCTCCCGGAAACAGAATTATCCAATTAATTTTAATGGCCCCTTTATTCCTCTCAAAAACAGCTTTAGAGCTTGGTCCAATTATTGTTTTTTTTGACCAGCCTAGTTTATCCGCCGTGGACTTTTGAATGAACACGTTTTATCCAGTGGGGGAGGGTCCCAGCTCAAAAGTGGCCAAAATGACGTGCGCTGACATGCTTGCAATACCACCCCGGGCCGATGGGGGTGGACCCAGAAGTAGAATTAGCCAATGCTAACATATAGCATTGGCTGACCTCTCAAAAACGTCTTTACAGGATGGACCAAAAGTTGGCTCTTGGCCCAAAGCTCCGTTCCACATGTGTGTCAATGCTGAGGGGGGTGGATTTTTTTGGTCCACTCTAGTTTACTTGCTGTGAATTTTTGAAGTCTCTCGTTCAAATGAATGGAGTTGCGCCGGCTGACGCATGCGCAGATGCGTTTTTTCACAATTTTCTTGTGGGCGGGACCACTCGCGGCCATTTTGGATTGCTCCAGTAGAGCACATTTTTTGGCCCATTAGTTAGAACGGTGGAGATAGGCGTGACTCTGTTCATTAATATATACAGTCTTTGGTTTTATCAGGCATGTGACTGACTGGATCCAATAAAGCATTCACAAAATGATACAGCCTCTAATAATGCATTTTGGACTCTCAAAGACGCTTTACATGTCATTATTCATTCACTCCACGGTGGTGATAAACTACTACTGTAGCCACAGCTGCCCTGGGGCACACTGACAGAAGCGAGGCAACCAGTAGGTGCCATCGGCCCCTCCGACCACCACCAACCATTCACACACATACACCAAACTCATTCTAGGCAATGGGGGGTGAAGTGTCTTGCCAAGGACACAACAGCAGTTTAGCACTTTACAGCCGCAGCCGCCTCACAGTGGCATCAGGTGTTCCCAGAGGTTAAGTGTCTTGCCAAGGACACAACAACAGCAGACATCAGTGGGAGTTGGTGGAGAAGGTCTTGAGGTGGGCTCAAACCCACGACCTTCAGGCTCAAAGGCCAATGCTCTACCAACTGAGCTACTGTCGTCCCCTCTGCTCCAAAACAAGACTCGTGCCGGCAAACGTTTTTTTTCCCACCATTTTCCTGCTGGAAGGCCTATTACTACAATGTTTCAGTGCAGTTTTTACGCTAATTTTATCCTAGAAGATAAAATAGGGAAAGCAATAACACGCTCCAGATTGAAGAATTGAAGAATCAAACGCACACATACAGTATATGCATAGAGGCTTGCATCCAACATGGAAGTTGTATCATTACTTATGTGGGCCACTGTAGCTAAAAACAATATGATCCAATACGAGCACCTAAAAGCCTAAAAGCCTTTGTGACTGTAAAATCCCCTATGTAAATAAATATTAAACGTACTTACTTACTCACTAAAGACATTACACTAATCATGTCCCTGTCAAAAGTGAGCTAAAGTCAAAAGAACATTGGAGTAAAACGAGTCCAGCTCGATTGTGTTCACATGGTGTGTTGATTAGATTAACAACCCTTCTATCAGCATGGCCAGGTTTACACACATTTTGAACAATGGATTTCACGTAACCTGGTTTTCCTGCATGTAACCATCTTGTCTTAAGTCCTCTTTGAGCCTTGTATGCCTCTGCCTGCCACTGCTCGGAGAACAATACTTACTATATTTTTGTCACCGGTGTTCTGTACATTTGCACCCACTGTATTCCCAGTTGGACGGCCTTGCATTCTCACTTCAAATGAAGTGTCCGGGCACTGAAAGACGAAGCCTATATATGTTTAGACACAAGACAAGAGTTTGCTTGTCTGGTTCGCACTCAATTTGAAATGTGCATATACAATCTTTTTGGGTAGAACTTCTGCTTGTGCTGTAAGTGTGAATACAGCAGACATAGTGACAAAGGCTGGTGTCCGTCCACTGGGCTCTTTTCTAACTACTTCTCACAGTATTGTTTTGCTCACAGCAGCTCAAACGCCTCCGTGTCCACGCCCTGGACCCTCTCCCTCTCTCTGCGCCTGTAGCGTGCCCTGGCTCGCCGTCTCGCTGACTTCCACCAAACAGCAAAGGCCGGGGCCAAAATAATTTGTATCTGTTCAATAAAACATTAAAAGCACCACGCCACGTCCTGCTCCTCTCCTCCCCCGTCTCCCCTCCTCTCCCCCTCGTCTCTCAAAGGCCTTGTTAATGTTTCAAAAGTGCGCATAAGACGCAGCAGCCAGACGATTAATTTGAGAGATACCCACGGGCTACCTGCAGGATCCTCTTGCTCTTCTGTAGTGTTAACACTTCGTCAGACGCACAAACCAGAGTGGAGGGCTGCCAGGCCACGGGGAGGGGGCGGAGGGGGGGAGAGCGGGAGCCTACAAAGTGTACCCTCCAGTCAGAGAGCTGGAGTGCTTTTCAAAAACACCCGTTTGATATGAGAAATGATGTGAATGTAGGGAAGCAAAATGGGTTAAAAGCCTTAAATGCAACAGTTTTTATTTGTAAGATGTGTGACGACTCGTTGTATCCATGCGTACGGCACGGTGCTGTGTTATCGTCATGCTAATTCCCATGTTTGGTCTGAGCTAATAATATCATCAGCATGCTTTTTTATACAGTCATTAGCTTGAGTGATAGGAGCTATGACTATATTTCAATGATTTATAATAGACCATTCTCCTGTAGTTAGAGAAGCATAGTTCTTACAGGCAAAAATGTTGAACTATAGAATGCTATCTTTATCCTTTAAAGCTGGGGTACCTACATTTTTCAACAGAAAGCCAAACAAATCAGACTACAACATAACTGAGTGCTGGGAGCGGATCCCTCACTCAATGGGCTTCCCAGACTCCCCATTGGGAGTCTTTTTGAGTCGTTTTATACCGATCCAGGACATTTATTAACAATTATGGACATCCTGCTCCCTATGGACACAAGAGTTTGTTGAAACTGATTGATTCTCTGATCTTTTGGTAAGGAATCAAAAACAATGGAAGACTGTTCAATCTTTTTTTTCTAATGGCACTTATTTGTTTTTGCAAATGATCTATTGATGTATGAGTTAATCATGTCAACATAGCTCAAAACGCAGCCTTCAGAATAAGCTTGTAAAGAATTTTTTTTTTCCCCAAATATACATATAATTTATTTATCCATAAATAGTATCATACATGGCTTTACTTCTGTCGTTTTTTTGTTGTAAACATAGCCCTGGCCTACATTTTACTCTTCATCATAATCTTCTCTGACCTGATTAAATTCAATTAGATTCAAACAAGCCTTCAAGAGCCGTCAAAAAGCTCCCCTCGCTCGTTTGCATGCTGACTCGCCTGAAAGCCGCACTGAAATATTAACGCTAAACGCAGCAAATATTCCTAATGCGGCCGCGCTGGGGTCAAAATACGTCGCCGGGAACAACAGCACATCAAAATTCATAATAAATTCTTCAACGGCGAGGCTAAAATCTGCTGCAACATCATGTTCTGTTATCGACACGAACTGGCTGCCCGGGTTATCCCTAGTTCCTCTTTCCAAAACAGCTCTAAATGCTGAGCTATGCGAACCAATCCAGGGTGCATTCATTTTAGATAAATAGTTTAAGCTGTGCTGAATGAATGATTTATTTAAACTCATAAATAATTTTACCCAAATATCCCCACAAGCCCTTTTTTGCCTCATTGTACAACGCTTTCTGCAAGACGAGAGCTCATTTATTTTCAAAAATCACACCATGTCTCTTGTAAATATGTATACTGGTCTTTCGACTTATTTATTTTACAGAGCTGATTTAAATTTTTCATCTCCAGCATAAAGTTGTATTTGTTTCCGAGGGCATGATAGCATGAAATAAATATGGCGCTCCCCCAGTTTCAACATATTGGAGGTTATTAATTTTTCACAAGAAGCAGATTTTGTACATAAAGCCAAGGCCTAATTCCACTGCACATGTAAATGAGTGAGGAGAAGAGAGAGGTGCCCGGCTGGAGGGGCAGCTCCCGAACGCCGCCGCCATATGGTGACAAACCTGCCCCTATCCAGCCCCGAGCCAAGGATTTACCGCGGATTGCTTTGGTAAATATTGCTCTTTTAACTGTAGCAAGAGGCATGAGCTAAAAAGGGAGCATTATCAGTTTGGAAGTGAAGCTTGTGGCCTCAAACAAATGAATGTAAAGCGGGCCATTTTGTAATACATCTTAAAGCGGTCACATTTTTTTAAAGTCCTTGTATTCCAGTCACTTAAGACTCCTGACGTTTTAATCTGGATGTATTGAGGGATAGGTCTAATTCACTGAACAGATTACCCAATGATGCATGAGCAAATTTCAATGTGTTTTTGTCAAAGGCAAAATCAAGTTTTTAGATCTTTTAAGTAAATCACAACTTTATTCCCTCATCAAAAACAGATATTTAGCTGTTTTTTTTAGATCCATCCAACTTTAATTAGAAGATCCTGGATTCGTATCCCAGTTGCGACAAGGTCTTTTGGAGTGGAGTTTGCATGTTCTCCTCGTGTCTGTGTAGCTTTTCCTCTTCTCCAGTGGCCCTTTCCACCAAGAACATCTACAACAGGTATGAAATCTTACAGATTTTAAATATCCTGACCAAGCCGAGCATCAAAATCCGGAGTTGGTGTCATGATCTAAAGAAAACAACGAAGACGACCAAGACCAAAAAACAAAACTGAACTAAATGTTAAACACAGGAGCTGGGGATGAAGCGAGAACCAGTGAAACAAGTAATAATAGTAGTAAGTAAGGTTTATTTATATATCGCATTTTACAGACCAAGGTCACCCAAAGCGCTTTACAATGTTCAGAGTTCAGATATTGTTCCAATCATTCCACACACATTGATGACGGAAGCGAGTCGCCGAACACACTGGCGCATCAGCCCCTAACCAACACCATCCATTCACTCTCTCATTTACATTCATACCTATTGTGCATGTTTTAGTGGTAGGGGAAACCGGAGCACACGGAGGAAACCTACGCAGACATGGGGAGAACATGCAAACTCCACTCAGAAAGGCCCTGTTCCGACCGGGATTCGAACCCAAGACCGTCTTGCTGAGAAGCGAGAGTGCTATCCACTCGCCCAGCAAACCACAATGATGGACTGACAACGAGGGAATTTAACTGGGAGACACGCAAGAAAACAGTAAAACTAAAAAGACAGGGAGAAACTGATAATACAAAGAAAAAAAACAGAAGTTTAGAATGACAACCATGATAGATGTGTACCCTGTTGCTGTACCACTGACAAAGGTCATAGTGTCATTACAGAATAGGTCAAATGCAGAAGAAAAATTGCCCTATGGGGATAAACAAAATCAAAGTGTATCATAATTCCATATTGAGAGCAGCCGCAGTATAGGCCTACTTATACAAAACTTGCAAGTAACAAATTATTACCGCTGTCAGACTGTACAATAAGTCACTTTTAGTCAATAATGACTGGCACTAGGACTGCTAAACCAGCATTGTGAATGCTGTTTATACCTCACACTATATTTTTTACCTTAACATGTTTGCACACTTGTGTCTTTTGCACAATCTGAGTGATTCTATCTATGCCAAATGTGACATGTAAATTTCTCCGCTGTGAGATGAATAAAGTTTATATTATCTTATCTTAATTATACCAGAAGTCTCATTGCTTTTTGCTTTTCCTGTCTTGCGTATAGCCTCCGACATGAACACACAAACTTCAGTAAACTTAGTGAGTACATACACAGCAGCTGTTTAACACTGACAGCTTATGGTAGTGCTAAATATATATACTATGTACTCACAGCACAGGCCACCGGTGTTGTCCATGGAGCGCGTGGGAGGACTTGTTATACGGTACATTAGGGCTTAAATGTGGCTGCAATTCTGAGACATTCTCGGCTTTCACACGGCCGCACTATAGGAGACAGTGAGTGGGCCGAAGGATGCGCCGTCACCCACTCTATAGCGCCCGCAGACAGACGTAGCATCCGTTTGACCAGGCTCAAGTCTGCTGCTGCCGCCGCAAATTACGGACTGTTGAACTCCATCGACTGCGCGCGCAAGCTGCAGGTCAATGCGTGGCGCCGGGGAGAACTTTAACTATTTGTCTATAAGGAAATACTGGAGGAAAGCGAGCAAGAAGTCAGTGGTAACTATCTTTATCATGTGAGACGAAGGGCCAGTCGTGTTTAGCCTCATCTCAAAACTGTTAGCCTTGGTCGAAAATGACAGTTTTGCTTGAGAGGAGATAGTTATCCAAATCAATCGGCTCTCCGTTCAAACGCAGAGAAATTATTTGTTTTCTCTTTTTTGATTAAGTTTAGTAGGTCTTCTGGGAAAAGGATTGAGAAAAGAATCAAGCATGTAGGATTTCTAGACAGTAAGAAGGTCCTGAGTTCAATTCCACCTCCAGGCCTTAGAGTTTGGAGTTTCATGTTCCTCCTGTGTCTGCGTAGGTTTCCTCCATGTGCTCCAGTTTGCCCTACCACAAAGAACATGTCCAATAGTCCCTTGTAACCCGTCCTGAACCCCACTCTCTGGGGCCAGGTCTCCTCTGAAAAAGAAATTCTGCAATCTCAACTTTTCTGGTAAAGATAACAAAGACAGTGCATATGTTATGTATGATGGCCCTGAATACAGAAGTAATTTAGTTCATTGTATTAGATCAATATTAAGATTTCAAACGGAGAACCACAACGCAGCTGCCAGGGTTGATCTGAGTAACGGCTTCATGCTTAAAAATGATTCTGATTCTGATTCTGATTAACATGGGCTGTGGAAATAGCCTCAAAAATTGCCAAATATATTTTAGCAGATGAAGGATGCACGTAAAGCTGATTGAAGTGGCATTTTACATTGCTGACAGAGTGGACTGAACGACGGTCAATGTCCATTATTGTGTGAGAGAGGATGAATATATGGGGGAATGACATCCGGCAATCGTTGGTGATCACATAATTCGGATTGAAAGGATAGACTCTTTATATTCATCATCGTCATCAAACTTCATTACAGACTCATGGTCCAGGATATGCAAAAAGACATCATATAAAACACAAAACAACACATTTATTAACTGCAAGCATGGATAATGACATATTCACATTGTTCCTAGCCTGGCCATAGCCATCCGTACTCTCCGCTCAATCATCATCAGCGAATACAATCGGTCGTATTTTGACCGGCTACTCAGAGAGCGCGGAAGGCGGGTGTTGTAGGTCGGTGCCGGTGACGCCAAGAGTTTGCGCCAAACGAGCAGGTTGTAGTTTGGCAATGGCGAAGAATGCGATAGTTAAGTATTCCGGTCTGGTTCTATCAAGAAATTGAAGCAGGAGCAAGAGGAATGTTTAGCAAATGTAATTGCTGGTCAAGATTGTGGCGCTACTCCCCACCGGCTCCGTTAGCGGCAAATGAGATGGCTAGGCTAAATGCTAACAACTCACACGGGCGCACTACATACGTCACAGTAAACTCAGATCCAATCGTTTCAATCTGCACTATGATTATTTAATCCTGCTCTCTGTGTGGAGTGGGAGACAAATGCCCAAAAATAACAATTGTAAACCACTTTGTGACTCTGGTCAGTGAAAGGTGGTATATAAATAAAGATTACTTGCTTATGATTTTGATATTGTGTGTTATTGTTAATTGTTTGTTGAGAACTTCAACTTTCCTTGTCTATGAACTATGAGCCTTGGCTTGTGGTGCCAATTAGTTACTCTGGATATTTATTACATGAAGGCAAAATATATAATGTGTACCTTTACAAGCCACTCTTTCAGTGGGAGCAAAAACTGTATTTATGTTGAAAGAAAGTAGGTCCCTCAGCTTTCGTCAGTTATGTGTTGAGTTTGTGCTGTATCGTAAACGATCAAACCAATAGTGTGTGTTTTCTCTTCTTCCTCTTCTGTGCTGACTCCGCCCCGTGAGCTGCGAGCGTTGGTATTTTCCTCATAGACGGCCTCTTCTGCCTGGCTGCCTCTGTTTTACAGTAGAGCGGAGCATTTGACAGGTATTGATTGGCCCCTAAATTATTCAGCGGTGGGCGTCTCCGATTTGTGCTGCGGTACTTGTGTCACTTGCACTCGGATGTGCTCTTCCCTGCGGCACACACTCACACACACGTACACACACACTCACACACAGCACAACATGTGGTTTAGGCGAGAAAGATATACATGTGAAGTTATCTAATTGTAAAGAGGTTACAGTTTAGCATGGAGAGACCAGCTGTTGCATATCAGCGGTTTTGCAAGAAATGGGACTCTAACAAAACCAGATGCAAAGCAGCCCTTATCACACTGGAGAATTATGATTGGATTTTACTATGTCAATGTCAGCTTTATTTGTGTGGCACTTTTACAACAATACCAGCTGCCCAAAGTGCTTCACATACACAAAAGTAAACATAATAACATACTAACAAATATACGGAGGAGCATTCGTCACACAAACAAATCAAATAAAAAATAAGGATCTCATAATAATGAGATAATATGTCATAATTACAAGATAGTATCTCATAATTACAACATATTCTCTCGTAATTTTGAGATCATAACTTGTAATTATGAAATAATAGCTCGTAACTTTTTTTTTGTGTGACAACTGAAAGTGACTGGGAGCCAGTGAAGTGAAGCCAGCACAGGGATGATGTGTTTTCTCTTACGTGTCCCTGTGAGTAAGCATGCAGCCGCATTCTGGACCTGCTGCTAGATTTTTAACAACCAATAGAAATTAACTATCACCATCAAACCTCTAGAAATGTAAATTATCAAAAAAACTAAGATAAAGACTCTTGTTTCCTGTCAAATCAAACATCCTGAGATTAATCAGTGCTCGTTAATATGGATTTTTCATGTATTCATAAATTAGTCATCATATTTAGGTAGAATGTTATTTTTATATGTGTTTATATATGTTATTTTTGTGTGTATTTTTTATAAATAAGGGAAAAACATACCAAGCAGCTTGTTCCACTATATCGGGGTCTCCAAACTGTTGCTCGGGAGCCACCGTCCTTCAGATACGTAGTTCCCTAAATGACTCAGGAATTTAACACTTCCAGAATAATCAAATTTTTAGTGATTATGGTCCACTTTATGTGTGTACTCCATTATTTTAGATAACTATTATAGACTAGGATGTTATTATGGCTATATATGGATAGAATTGTATTACTCCAAAGAGGAGTAAATCTACCATTTCTGTTGTGAAAAAGTAGCTTTCCGATCAAAAAAGGTGGACACCTCTACACTATATACTATATCATGAACATTGTGATAATCTTATTCATTTGTTGATTAGTTCAAACCTTGTCGCATAGCAGTCGCATAGCAGTCGCATCTTGATAACATTTAGATGAAGAATTAAATAACTTATGTAATATATTATTGTAGCAGTAAAATCCCCTCCCTCACTCTCTGAATTAAAATTGTTTGCACTGGCCCTTACTTGGTCAAGAAAAAAACATGCCAAGAACATAAAACGTACACTTGTCCATATCCAGAGGGTCTAAATGTCAAGTATTTTAAGTTGGGGGCACTGTGGATGACTGGAGGATATTAGAAAACAGATGATCCCGTAAAGTACATTTTTATGGCTGCGAGAGAAACTGACACATTGATTAATCAGCCAGAAGGTGTGTACTTGTAACGAATATCAATTAATTTTGCACAAGCAGCTGCAGCAGAGGAGGCGTCATTAGGATGAACGAGAAGACCTTGACTTAGCAAACCCAACAAACACACACACACACACACACACACACGCAACCATCTCAGCGTGATCACAGGAGGGAGGGAGTACCTGATTGCACTGCAAAAACCTAACCACTGTTTATGGGTTAAAAGAGACGATAAGTAATATAGTAACTAAGTAGTGGAGGCCGATTTATTGTACATGTTTTTAGTGGTATAGGGAAACCGGAGCACCCAGAGGAAACTTACGCAGACAAGGGTAGAACATGCAAACTCCACACAGAAAGGCCTGGAGGTGGAACCGAATCTTTGCCATCTAAATTTAGATCCCCACTTGCCAAATCAGTCATGTAAAATGTATCGATATGAATTGTTTAAAATCTGTTTAACACTTTAGGCGCCAAAGTAGCAGGATTGCGACACAAGCTTCTTAATCCAAGACACTTTCTATACAGCGACATGGCTTCCCCTCTCCCCATGATTTTGTTTTGTTTTTTTTAAATTAATGTTTTTTCATTATAGATTCAGATTAAAATAGTCTAAAATCACGTATTGAGTTTCAGGGTGTCACCTTTTGTCTATTTCACAACACATAAAAAAATGCTGTCACCTAAAAAGTCAATTATAAATTCTTAAAAGATTTTCAGTCTTTCTCTAATTGAAAAGGTTGCAACATTTTGGCAAAAAAGTTTAATTTTAAAGCGTCTAGTTTTGTAAAAAATCTACTTCAAATAGCTAAAGAGACATCAGCCATCAGCTCTCATATATATTTGGCTGTTAATCTTTGGTTTTACATGTTTATTTTTCTGAAGAAGAAACAGGTATAAAATCTCTATCTTGAGCATAATGAGTACAACAACTTTGACTTTAGCATAATAAAGAAGTGTAAAATATCTACCTTTGGCATACAAGAAAGCAAGTGGAAAGAACTGTGTATTGTAGCGCACTGTCTTAGAATACATACCATGTTTTTGAATCAAGACTCAAATAGTTTAAAATGCTGGATCATAACAAGCTTTTTCTAGTCATTTTATGTGAGGAGTTCCTGTTTTAGCAGTGCACGGGTCACATGACTGCCCTCCTCCTCATCAAATCCACACGCTGGGCTAATTAGCGGCAGCACTAGAG